TCGCCTGCTACTGGAAAATACTTCTGACTTGGCCTCAGTATGAAAAGTGTCCCCACGTGTTTTGGGACATTTTTCATACTGAAGTCAAGCCACCCTTTGTCTGGCAAGGAGCTCCGGTTCTTTGGAGGGACTGTAGCCCATCGACCAATGGCTGGCAAGCATTGTTTTTGGATATACTATTTGCGGAGGGACTGGGTACTATTGTAGGAGGGTCAACATATCTTGTCGATGCCGAATCGATGTTACTTCTGTAAAGTTTGCTGCTGTTAAAGTATTGTTGTGTCATTTCTCATCATGTTAATATTTTTCAGGCCGAGGCCGTCGTTGTTTGCCAAAAAAGAGTACCCTCGAATTGTAAAATTCTACTACAGTAGTAGAAAATAGAATCCCCCGTTTTTGTTCCCTGTGAAACACGCATGGATTCACACACGAATGAAATGATCGCGAAGTCTCGAACTACTGTATGGTGAAGAAAGCATCGGCCAAGACGCGCAGGGTCCGTCGGCCGTCCTCGCAGACCTACCCGACCTCTATCACCTTTCGCCCGCCTCGGCCCCAGTGGGGGGGGAGCGACGCTTCACCCTAGTAGTACAAAACGCTCATACTTTCGTGCGCATATTGAGACCAAACTTGATGTGGAAACGTTAGGGACACATCCCCGCATACAACGAATTGTTTGAGTTAATCCAGATGAGTTTTCACGGAGGAGAACGACAGTGGCGAGTTGAAACGAAAGCAGCGTATGGCCATGACTACAATAGAACCAGGGGCAAAATCTTGTGGTTAGTGGGTACGAACGGTTGTTGTGCCGCACAACCAAAGCTCACCGGGAAAATAGGCGATCTTGAGAGGGACGAGGGAGTTGAACTTGTTGTCGAATAACGACAAGGCGAACTGCTTGTAGGGTGAGTTCGCGGTCATGGCGGACTCGTCAAGCACGTCGCGAACGACCTGGTTGTAGCTGATGGAATCGCACGTACGTTGGTGGTGAAACGGGGGGTGAATGAGGCCAAAACATCAGTGGAGCCCGTCATCACATGCCATGAGAGGGCGCGGGAAAAGCGCCTCGTGTGCAAACGGTTCCTACCTCAAGACAGGGCTACACATATGGCACCGATTTGGTGTGTTCTGCACGGCTGCACAGCACCCTCTCGTGTCCGTAACCACGCATGGCAAGCCCGGTATCGCGACTGTATTGATTGGCGTTCCTCTCGGCATACCCTTCGGTTCCCCCATCCCGTCTCATTCTATGTAGGAAATAGACTCTTCAAAAGGCCCATGGTCTTCCGTTGGTCGAGAAACCGCTACACGTATGTACGATGGGAAATTTCTATAATCGTGATATGTACGATCTCCCGGGGCTTGTACATTTTCGTACTTTTCCATGAAAAGTTTCATGGAAGTCCATGGAAGTCCATTCCATGAACTTCCATGGAATTCTATGGAACTTCCATGGACTTCCATGAAATTTCCAGGAAGTCCATGGAAATGTTTCACGGCATTCCGTGAAAAGTTCCATGGATGTCCATGACATTTTTGTCATGAAACTTTCCATGAAATAATTTCACTCCTTGTCATGAAACATTTCATGGAACAATTTCATGGACGTTCATGACATGCTTTCATGAACGCCCGTGAACGTCCATGAAATATTTATGAACGCCCATGAACGTTCGTTCATGAAAAAACGTTTCATGGGCGCACGTGGGCGGTCATGAAATATTTCATGATAGCCCATGAACGTCCGTGGAATGTTTCATGAAATATGTCATGAACATCTATGAACGTCCATGGTATCTCATGAACTTCCATGGATGTATGGACGTCCATGAAACATTCCATGGACGTTCATGGATGTTCATGAAATATTTCATGAAAGACCATGGACGTTCATGAAACATTCCATGAACATCCATGAACGTTCATGAAATGTTTCATGAAATCCCATGAACATCCATGAAATGTTCCATGCGAGGGCGGGACGCCGAATCGCCGACGCATCGGCGGAAAACCCGAGGATACATGGGGATATGTCCCCGCCCCCCTCAAAATGGAACAAAATTACCCCGATTTTAGGTTATGTAGTGTACAGTAGGCCTACATAACTAACTGAGTGTCTTAATTTATTTGTGTTCACGACACTACCCCCTTGGACAAGGGTTTCGAAACGCACCTCACCTACCTCACTCGGCAATGGCTAGGTACCGGTTGGAAATGTTTTTCCCTTTCGCCTTCCTCCGCCCCTCCATTATTCGACGGTTCGCCAGATCGGGGCTGGCTGTGATGGGACACCCATTCATTGCTGAACGCGACGAGCTGGCGGTGGAAGCCATCGGCGAGGTTGTTGTGCCCGGCCGTTTGGCTTCTCCCGCCGCTCTGCTGATGGGCGGAGGATAGCGTCCACCACTCACTCACTTTTCTTTCGGCTTGGAGCAGATGCACCTTGAGCACGCTGTGTGATTCATCTCAATTATTATAAAGGTAGTTTTGTTATTTTTTTTTTATGTTTTTCATGGAATTCCATGAAAATTTTTATGGAAGTCCATGGAACTTTTCATGGAACTCCTTGGACTTTCATGAAACTTTTCATGGCATCTCATGGAACTCGTTGGACTTCCATGAAATATTTCATGAAGAGTTCCAGGACGTCCATGGACTTCCATGAAAAGTTCCCATGGAGCTCCATGGAATTCCATGAAAAGTTCATGGAACTCCTTGCCATGAAAATTTTCATGGAAGTGAAAGAAGTCCCATGAAAAGATTCTTGGAAGTCCATGGAGCTCCGTGGAAACAAGTAACAAGTTTCTTGGAAGTCCAATGAAGCCCATGCACACATTTCATGGAAATCAATGTCGAACACAGCCAAGGCTCATTGTCGGCATTTATCAACCAAGGTGGCGTCAGTCCATGAAATGTTTCATAGACTTCCATGATGAAATATTTCATGGAGTTCCATGGAGTTCCATGGACATGGTGTCATGGAGTTCCATGGACTTCCATGATTTTTTTCATTTTTTCCATGGACTTCCATGGAACATTTAATGGAAGTCCATGGACTTGCATGAAATATTTCACTAAAAAATACTATAATGTAGATGACTGAATCTCCCACACTGACAGTATTGCTAAACCGCCCATGGGACACCCATGGGGTCACCCATGGACCGCCCATGGGATCTTCATGGACTCTTCATGGGCTGCCCATGGGCTGCCCATGGGTGACCCATGGGGATACCCACGGGCGGCCCATGAAGTGCTCACCCTGTGGGCACTTCAGCCTAGAACTTATGTAGCCACCTTCACATCAACCTAGAACCAGCCACCATGGCCAACCTAGCACGTATCGTGTGGGCTTGGGGTTAGGGTTAGGGTTAGGGTTAGCGTTAGGGTTACTAGCCGTTATAGTGCCGGTTCCAAAGCAGACAATATTTTGTTTAGGAGTAAATTGGTTCGGTTCAAGGGCTCTCATTGGCTGCCCATGGGCTGCCCACATAATATGGGCTGCGCATGGGTGCCACCCATGGGGCACCCATGGGCTGCCCGTGGGCCTAAGGGGGTGCCCATGGACTTCCCATGGGTGACCCATGGGTGACCCATCGGAGTCCCATGGGTCGTTTGGGAAAACTGTAGAAAGTGTGGGAGACCCTATGTAAGAGTCACTCGTTTCGTGCGAGGCTCAGTTCCTATTTTCTCTACGGGGTACCCCAGCAGTGGAATAGACTATAGGATATAGTATATAGTAGAATTCTTGACGAAGCACGTGCTCTTATGGCCAAGTTCTTGTAGTTCCTATGTTTTGAGCCTGAGTTTCTTAACTCCCAGGTTCTACAGTGCGGCCGCTAACTGAACTGCACAGGTTGCGCAAAAGAAGCACCAATTCATCCCAGGAACATATATATCTTTGGTTTCGGCTTCAGTAGTGAGCCCTCTACGATATGGAAATGCTACAGTACATTGGGTAAGGCGGCCACCCGCCCGTTAGGCGGGACGGCCACCTGGAGGAAAAATCGTCACCAGCCCATTTGGCGGGACGGCCACCGGGCAAACATGATGCATGAGAATGAGAAGGTGATCGTATTTGAAAGTGGGAGGACTACATATGCACCGTAGCAAACTAATGCCACATGTTGCATCCCTTCCGTCGGGTCCTCGCGGCGTATCCTGTTGTGCGCGTATCCAACAAAATGTTACCGTGCGTACAAAAAAGGTGTCCAAGTGATTTTATGGGGCAAACCCCAACAGCAAAACGGAGCCAGGCATACCTGTTCATGGCATATGCTGCGGGCAAGGTAGGTAGAACGTGTTCGTGTGTGCATGAGCGGATGAGAATATTCCAACGGGACTGTAGGAATTGGCTACGCAGATAGGAATTGATAGTCCCCTGGGTTGGTTTCATGGTTGATCCACGGGGCTCGGGAGTGCTTGCTGTGTCGTGGCACTCTCTCTCTCCCGCCGCGTCCTGATCGTGTCTGCTGTCCTAAAATACAAGTGATACCATCATCTTCAACACACTTACAAGGGTATACTAACACTCTAGAGTGTATCCCTCGAGGGAACCCGTGCTGGAGATGAGTGGCGCCGATGTTGCAGCAGAGGCTGCCGACGTCACCACTAGTACGCAGGGCAGGGTTGCCAACCTAGAGAGCAAAGTTTCAGGCCTGACGGACGAGGTACAGCAGTTGGCAGGGCTACTCCGAGCCGCCCTCGGAAAGTTAGAGAAGGAGGGGGAGTCCGGCGGCGCCACGGTGGGCGCTGTCGTTACGGGCGCCACGTCTGCCCGCGGTCTGCTGGAAGAGGGGCCGCACAACGACGGAATCACGCCGCCCGCACAGCACGGGGGAAGAAGCACCAGACCGGGAACCAGCCCGGTAGTGCCAAGGATCCCTGCTGGAGCGGACCTGGACATAGGACCGGGCAGCGGGGACGTCAGGGGGTCATCATCCCAAGAGCAGCCTGCTTCGGTGGGCGCTTGCATAGACTACACGGCTGCAGCAGAGATCATCAGCAGTCGGCCGGTTGCGGAAGGCGAACCGCTGTGTGCATTTCAGGTCCCTGCTGACGGTGGGTTTGGTAGATTCCAGAACACCGAATACCTCTACAACATAGGCAACGCTGGTAGAGATGCAGCCGCCGCTCGAGGCACTTGCCGAAGAGTCAGAGCAACGTACTCATCACGTCGAGAAGAGCTGTGCGGCGCTGGAGGGGTTGCCGCAGACGGCACACCAGGTGTGCCTGTTGACCGCGGGAAAGTGCTTGCGTCTAGAGAGCTGGGGCAGCATGCATCCCCACGACGCCGTCGATGCGCCATCAAAGCAACCAGGTGAAGCTAATCGTGGGACCATGGGAAGAAAGACACGGTGGGGTGAGGCAGTAGATAATATCGGTGCAACAAGCGGGGGCATCGGTCAGTATCGTGCAGACCCTGTAGGCAGTCCTGGCGGTTGTGGTGGCGAGCGATGACGAGGAGCTGGATGTGGCACGTGAGGCGTTGTAAGGACAGGCGGGGGAAAGACGCCAAAGCCGCGCGGGTCACCGCGCACGCTCCATCTACACCATCGCAGCAGCGTGGAAAGGTGGAGACACAGAAAAACCGGCCGCAAGGCCGTGCGCCCATAGCCGCAACGGAAGGGGCGCGGGAGGGCAACAACAAAAATAACACGGCGGGAGGGCCGTGTGCTCATAGCCGCGACGGGAGGGGCGCGGGAGGGCAACAACCAAATAACACGGCGGGAGGGCCGTGTGCTCATAGCTGCGACGGGAGGGGCGCGGGAGGGCAACAACAAAAATAACACGGCGGGAGGGCCGTGTGCTCGCAGCCGCGACGGGAGGGGCGCGGGAGGGCAACAACAAAAAAAAAAATCTAAGGCCCCATGGCGCGTCGGACGGGGCGTGAGGGGGGGAGAAAACCGAAGCAGCCCCGTGGCGCGCCGGAAAGGGCGTGAGGGGGAACCCCGCGGCACGTCGGAAGGGGCGTGGGGGGGAGGGTACTTGCCTCGTGATGCTAAAACGGGAACTCCTTTTCTGGCGAGGCTACAGGCCGGGACGAGCGCTGGGAGGGGAGCAACACGCATCACAGTGCTGGATTGGCGCTTCTTTCTTGACGGTATTTGGTGTTTGATGGTATTCGTAGCGAAGTTGGTGATCCTCGTTAGTTGTCATGAGTGCACTTTGGTTGAAGAGCCAGGGAGGGTGTTCCGTGTTTGTCGGAGGCGTTCGCGTCCACATGTTCAGTATTTTCCTGGTAGTCATTTGGTTGAAACTTCTTGATTGCCGCCAAGTGGGGCCGTTCTCTAGGTTGCGAAAATGTGCAGGAATCTGGGATACTGTTGGAACCGCTGAAGGAACGTATGAGGAAAAATTGGGACATCAGTGTTGTACGTCGACGAGAACAGAGGATTGTCGAAAAATGCATGCCGGTTGTGTGTCGCTCAAAAAATGTTGGATGATTGCCTTATGCCCCGGTGCGCTGTGTTACGTCAGCGAGGGGGGGGGGGGGCGATTTCGATGTTTGTCTGATGTTTGTTTGAAGAACAGATAGTAGTGCAGCCGCATGGTAGTTGTTTGAACCAACTCCTCAGGATAGTCTTACGCTATTGCTCACCAAGAATTGAGATAGGCCGTTGTTGGAAACAGGGTTATGATCTTGGTACGTCATGCAGGAAGAATATGATAGCACGCCGCCCACGTTTGTAGATATAGATTCCGAGCGTGGATCCTGGCGCGACTGGTATTATGCATGTGTTGATCTTGCTCTGGTAGCGCAACAGTGACAGTATCTGGTGGAACGGTGAATATTGGTGGGGGTTTTGACCCGGAGGCCGGGTTTCCCCCTGTTATTTTTTCGCGTTTTTTTTTGCCCGTTTGGGTTTTCGTCACATCCGGCGTGTGCATGCCCACTAGTGGTTAGTTACTAGCGTAAAGAACCAGGGAGGGTGTCCGTGTGTGCATGAGCGGATGAGAATATTCCAACGGGACTGTAGGAATTGGCTACGCAGATAGGAATTGATAGTCCCCTGGGTTGGTTTCATGGTTGATCCACGGGGCTCGACCCTGCGGGAGTGCTTGCTGTGTCGTGGCACTCTCTCTCTCCCGCCGCGTCCTGATCGTGTCTGCTGTCCTAAATACAAGTGATACCATCATCTTCAACACACATACAAGGGTATACTAACAGAACGTAATGGCAACAGCAGCGTGGGCCGGCCTACCTGTTGAGGTAGTCTGGCGCATCTATCGTGCGCGAGCTAAAGTCTTCCTCGTCTTCCTTGGAAGAGAATCCGAAGTAGCGGCCTGTGCTCCCGATGTGCGGCGTCACGTGCTCTTGACTTGAAACGTACCCGAGGCCATCCGACTCCACCAGAGGCTGCCACTTCTTGAAGTCCGTGAACTGGTGCATCATCGAGCATTCACAACCGAGGTTTTTGAACATGGTGGCATGGAAAGTCGGCGGAATAATGGAGGGATCGCTCACCGCACCAATGGCGAGCTCGCTTGCTCTGCGAAGAGGTTATCGACATGTGTGTTCACATGCTTTCCAGAACAGAAATATAAAGCTAGACGTGAGCCATATGCCACGCAAAAGTCGAAGTGTTTCCGCTTCCATGCATCCTGGCTGAGGCCTTTGGCAACGCGCAAATACTCCTAAAAACTACTGTGGCATCTCACACCAAAACATACTCATTCCCTTGCTTCAAAGGTGGGATGCAGACTGACATACAGAACCACGTCGCAAGAAGCCAAAGCGGAATCAGTAGCACGACGAGGGTAAACGTATATTACAACGGACGTTGCAACCTTGAGCAATCTACGGGGACGGTGCCCATGTACTGCATCTCACCTCGTACGGGCTGTTGCTAGGGGTGTAGGGCGTCCAAGAATTTCCCGCCGAATCAGTCATCGAAAAATCACCCGTGAACGGGACGCGGTTGAATTCCCGGCCTCCCATATTCCCGTCGGCGTTCCATCCGTCATTAGCGCCGAGGTAGTCCCATATCTCGTTGGCGTAGGCCCGGCCCAGCCCCCCACGGCGTGGACGTGTCGATGTAGTCGTCGACACCCTCCTCCGGGAAGGACAGGGGGTGGCCCCGGGATATCATGAGTGGCTCAATCTCAGCGCGGCAGAACGGCATCGCCTTTAGCGCGATGTGGGTGACCGTGTAGATCTCAGCCACCTGATCAAGTACGGATCCCGAATGGTCTCAACGTGGTTGGTACATACGTTGCGTATTTTGATTTATGATCATGATATCAACCAGCATACGCGCATCATCGGGTATAACTTATCAATTCCTCTCTGCAACGTATTTCAGCGGCTGGAGAATAACATTGTTGATTAACCGCTGCCACTGTGACCGGTCGCCCCGGTGGTCTAGTTGGTATCCTCGAAACCTTCTAGAGGTGAGGCCAGGGGTTCGAATCCCGGCGTAAGCGAGCTTTTCTTTCAAAGTGAGTTTTTCTCTCGCTTCCGCTCCTGGCCTACCTACAGTAGTGGACAGCGCTAGTTCGTGTGTAAAAGGGGGAAGAGAGTGCTGAACTCTTCTCGCATTAAAAATCGAAGGCAAAGTACCGCAGGAGGGGAGGGTAGAGAGGGGCTCTTCTGTGTGACCACGGGTTGGAGTAAACGGCACTAGTGCTGTGAGCGCTGATTTGAAGTTAAGACAAAAACAAATCTGTGACGGTTCAAGCTAAACCAGTTCCACTTCTATATAAAATTTCATATTTGATTGATTTCGCGCTCAATATCACCACCAAACCAAGCACGATGTCCCTGGCTCGTGCTGTCCATACCCTGTAGTGCAGGAGGAATAGTTCTTCCTCGTCATTCGTGCTTCCCGAACAGCGGCGGCGTTTGTCGGACGTACGCTTGTCGCCAAAGATATTCAGCCACGGGGAGGGTTGAAAGGCACTGGCCACAGACCACACCGAGCTGTCAATAGCTGCAGAGCAGCAGGTGGGCAGGCAGACAGGCGGGCGGGCGGGTGGGCGGGCGGGTGATGTTTGCGGCACACTTGTTTTCAGTTGTCCGCAGACACGAATGGCTCATACGACATGAACGTCATCAGCCGCAGCTGGCGGCCGTCAGCGCCCGAGGATTTATGCCCGTTTTCCCTGCATACGACCTGGCTGGATCGAGCAGTATCCTGGGGTGCCCCCCGCGTCTTGCCGGGATTGTCAGGTAGCCTCTTGCAACGTCCATCATGCATGTCGCGGTTCACGAAAGGTCTGAGTCGTTTTACGTGGGATTGACTTTGGAACCCCGGCAATAGTAGAGAGTCTCTCCTAGCATAGAGCATCTATTTCGCCGAGAGTGTGAACGAGAGCGAGACTGATCTTGAGTGTTGTCTGCTCGGGGACGTAAATGTCCGTAGGCGGCCAATACATGTATCGCTTATGCACCATCATTCCTAGGCAGGCTGTGGCAATGAATGTCTCGGTTGAACTCCCCTCGATCACTTTCGGACACGACAGCCCGACACGTCTCACATGACTTCAGTACTACTGTACGTCGCACCAAGATATGCCATGGCCAGCACTACTCTGAAACGGAATATGGCTTTTTAGACATTAGTATCGTGTTCTCTTTGTCGACCTGTTCATAAGAGCATTTGTTTTGAATATGATATAAACCGATTATTCTGTAGGTTGTCGAACATTGCCAACCTGATTGTTTCAAAGTTCTCTATCTCGTGGGTGCACTCTGCTACCCGGGTTGAAGCTCATCAACAATAGAGAGGTAAGCCCCAGCGATGCGACGGTCTGACTAGCAGCCTGGATGGCGGACATCATAGAACATGAGTGAAAAACCAAGTACAGATTCATTCTGAGCTCGGGCAGATTTGCAACATGAATGTGTGGTGCTTTGAATGTTTGGGGAATTCATTTCGTGGCTCCAAAACATGGACAAACGTGTCCACCGTAGTCTGGTCTACAACCCACGTCGCCTTACGACTACAAAGAGTTCACGATGGACTTGTCGAACCCCGAAATACCCTAACGTTTTGCTGGACGCACCGAGTGGTCGCATACTAGACGAATCAAGCTCTTCGACCTCGAATGAAAATCCAGGGGATACAATACACGCAATCGGAATATTTACATGGAGCGGAAACCACAAACATGTATGGAATGCCGGAAGATTGCACTTGGTCTGTCTGTAGAATAGACTCCTCTACCGGTTCGAGAGGACTCGAAATCACTCTTGCGGTTGCTTGGCGCATGACAAACAGTCATCCGTCAAACCCCGTTGCACACACCATGAAGGGACCCACCTAGCAGGGTCCTCATAGCCACGGGAGTCTCCAGACCTAAGTTAGGGTAATCAAAAGGGCATGGAAAAAAGGGCGTGGTAAAGTCTTCGGTGAGGGGAGGTCTTCGGCCAACGTTCTGGAGCACATGCGCTCGGGCAGCTGCTGCACGGATACGAATTTTACTTGAACTGCCGTTGGATATTGTCATCGCATCGTATATAAGGTGAGTACGTGACGACGATAGTAAAATGTCGCTACACCTTCGTGTCAAAACACGCTGTAGCGCAGGCGTGCATTCTATGTTTGACGCACTGTTCGTGTGGTAGGATGAGGCTATTCGGTTACCCGTCATTGTGATACTTTTTTCCTGTCATGTTCTTCAGCAGTTTCATTCTATTAAACTTTGGTTGTTCTTGGAATATTGACGTGCACGTACGTACGGTCAGCGGATTGCTGAAAAATCTGAAAGTACATCCCTACGAGTAATTGATACTTGCGACTAGATGATGCTAGCATATGAGTGGTCAACCTCATGTTGAGTACGTCAGTCTGTTACACGAGACGACGTCAGTTTTCCTTCCGGTCTCATCACCAAATATCTACATTTTTCCAATGATCTCTTTTCCCTGGGAACTCTTCGTACTCGAACAAGAGTCCGCCGGCACAGTCTCTCATGGAGGTTGATTTCCACGAGCAGTGTGAACCGGGTCACGACGCACCACGTGCGGACACGCTGTGCTACGAGTTCCGCTTGCGACCGCCTGTAAGATCGCACCACGTGCTTTGTTTACTTCCATCGGGCGTGTCACTCGCATCACATTTCTTCTCTTGGCGTGCGCACGAGACGCACGAGCTCCAGACAGAGGTTCTTTAAATTTCCACACACAGAAGCTCGTGCAAAAAGGCCATCTATGTAAGCGGCTTTCGTCATACGCCCCCCAGCCTCTCATCCACACATCACATTCCCGAGATGAACCAACCTGAGGAGCACGCGGCCAGCGTCGGGATCACCGGGTTGCTGAAATCGAAGATCTCGGTGTTCATGGAGGCCTTGATCTCGGCGAGGTTCAGTGTTGTCGTCGTGCCATTCCCATCTTGGACGATACCGTTCAGCGGGACACACGATGACACTGGTGATGGGGTGCTGACTCCCATGCGCACGAGGAGCAGCAGCACCACACCATGGTAGTATTGCATGGTCCCGGAAAAAATGACTTTCAAATGGGAGGCTCTCGGTGCACCCAATGCACAATTGACGGACGGGAAGAAGATTGGTGCCGAAGGAGGGGGGAGTACACCGGAGGGCCACCCAAAGCTTCCGATTGTTATCCTTGCCGTGTGTGATCAAACCCTGCGGGGACATGGTCGTTGTGATAATGTTACTTATGAGGATATAGGTCTGGTGTGTATTTGATGTACTACCGGGAAAAAGGAAGGTTTGTTCGTCGAAGCAGATAGAATAAACTGGTGTTTATTTTGTAACAGTCGAATTAGAATTTGGCTTCATTTTCTACCGGAAACCCAGGGTCACGGTGTTTGGAATTATTAGTCTATAGTTGGGGGTGTCATTCCGTGATCGAGTCCACGCAGGGGCTGTAGCAAAGTCGGGTAACGTGTGACAGCTACAGAGCGCGTGAAGCAACGGAAGGACAGCAGCAGGCGCCTAACGCAGTAGCGGCGGCAGTTTAGAAAAGGGCGGGACGGGACACGGCGCAAGCATTGGGGAAGTGACCAGCACGCGACTCTCCATATAAAGGTGTGTACTCGTGTCCAACATCCATCGTGTCGGCCGTGTTCCTATTCGCGTCCCGCTACTCTTGTGACCTCACCGCTGCGTGCATTTAGCACGAGGGGGGAGGGTGCAGTAAGATAAGCGGCGGCAAGCCAACGCAGTCTCGCTCGCCGCGCCGCTCAGATAGGTCCCTTCCCAAACATGGGATGCGGTTCATCCCAACCGAGACGTACTCTCGCTGAAGAAAAAAAATGCGGTTCGTCCCAACCAGACGTACTCTCTCTGAAGAAAAAATTCAACGGCAAAAAGAAAGAGCGGGGCCTGTTGTATGGTCGCACGCTGACTTGTCGCGGTTGATAGCAGCCATTGTACTGCACGGGGTGGAGGAACCCTGCGGCATCGGACATAACCAATCGACCCGCGGCAGTAGGGCATGATGCTGTCACGATTATGCACATGAGGCAGGTGCCTTGTTTTCTGTTTCCCCCGGCTTACTAGGGACTACTTGCCGGTACAATCTTGTCTGTGCCGCGCACAGAGGGGCATATAGCTGAAGGAATCGACGATAATATGCCCACTCACGTAAGCAATCGTCTCCACGGATGGTATTGACAAGTCCCCACTGATGGTATCGACAAGTCCCATGGCATACAAAGCGGCCGCATACGTAATCGGAAAGTGCATTCAACAGCATTCACGGGAACGGATAAAAGCAAAAACACATGCATGCGAGAGAAAGACTCAAAGAAAAAGACTGAAAAACAATGAAGACGAGAAAAAAAAAACGAGACAGCGAACTACGTGCTGTATGCATAAGGAAAAAGAAGATGAGAAAAAAATAGGGGGAGATGGATGTGACACGCGAGGTTCGAACTCGCGAGGAACGTCAGGTAGCGGTCCATGTGAGTGTATCACGGT